ACATCTTGGTGTGTAGAAAAACAGTTTGACAGCTGTAGTCTGGCACTTCCTTATCGTAACTTGATACAGCATTCCAGAGAGACAGTCACGCCTCAGATTTATACTCCACTCTGCTTCTGCTATTTCAGCTTTAATAGTTTTTAGTGTCAACTCATGTGTTGTTTGGATAAACTTAATTGACTTGTTAAATTAGAACCGTTTACATTCTGTTTCTCTTTTTGTTTCTCTTCCCACAGGATGATTTTGTGCCATGATCCAATGGGAAAGTACTCTGTAAATCACTGATTTGTGCTACTTGGTTGTAATAAAGCTGGTGTTTTGTGCTTATGCTCTTTGAACTCTGAGTGCTATACTAAGTTTATGCCACCTACTATGAGCTGTGCTCCATCTTTCATCAGGAAACCTTCAAAAATTGTTGATTAGATTACACAGAAGATCTGTATTAAATATTTGTATGCACAATAGCTTAATTTAGTATGCTACTGTAAATCGTATTCAGAATCACAAACAGTGTGATTTTTCCACCCTAGTTGAAATTAGGAAATGTTGACAGATCATAGTGAAAAGCAAAGTGCTTGTGAAGAAAGAGAAGTAAGTTTTCAAGGTACATCCTGTACAGAGCAGTAGCACCTTGTACTCTACTGTCATGCCTGGAATGCCAGTCCTTTGTTTGCCCCAGAATTTTTTTTTTTCCTGTGACCCTGAATTGATCTTTTGAGTTTTGTCTTTTTCTGTAAGAATTTTTATTAGTATGTGTAATAAGTGGGTAGCAGTAGCTGGGAGAATGATGGTTGTACCTCTGTTCATTTCAGGCTTGTGAGTAGTGTAGAGAAACAGCTTTCCCTGTTACGGTAGTAGTGTACATCTAAAAAAGCCTGATGGTTTTTTTTACCAGTCACTTTTCAAAGTCAATGACAGAGAAAGGAGCCCACGCACTGTAGGAAAAGTGTGCTTTTAGGTCTGGTTGTAAAGAGTGGTTTTACTGTCACTTGTTTGCCTTAAATATTGGAATTGCTGGTTTGATTTGGCTTAAAAACAGTAAGAAAAATATCTGTGTCCATTTTTCACCTATGGGGCTGTATTTTATACCTGCTTATAACCACACTCAGAACTATTGTGAGTTAAATATAGTGAGCCATAATTGAGCATCAGATATTTCAAAGTAAATCTCAATGCCAAAGCAAACTGAAGGATATTGGAGAAATTCATGTTTTGTCACTTATGGAAAGTATTCAAAAAAAAAAATTAAAATCCCAGTGTCTGATTTACATGCCTGATTTTTCAAGTGAGAAAACCCAGTGAAATGGAGCCACTAGCAAGTGGCAGTACAGTTAGCAGTAGCCACTAACTGCATGGCACTGCTGCTGTTTGATGTAATGCACATTTTTGAATTTAAGGTCTGCAATGTACAGTATTGACCTATTTATGCAATTTATTAAAATATTTTTTATTAAATCAATATAATGACAATCTGAAGCAGCCTTTTAAGTGTTCCTATCTAGTACTTACTTCAGTCTGTGTCTAATCACAGAATGGAGGGCACGTACATGTTCAGCAGACATTCCTGATTTTTCTTGAACAGTGGAGTAGGATGATTGTCCTGAGTCAGTTCTGGCAGAAGTGTGGAATGCACAGCTTGATCTGCCTTTCCAGTGCCAGAATCGCTTGCCTTTGGCTGCCAGGGAGGAAATTGGGCCGTTTTGCTCTCTTCTGGTACAATGGTTTAATTTACCTCCGTTTTTGTTGTGTTTACCCAATTACTGTGTCTTGGTTCCCATGAGCCAAGTAAAAGCAGGAGCTGTGCCAAAGGTATGAGACATTTTAAACTCGAATATTGCTGCACCTGAGGTTTTGACATAATGGGGAGTTTACAATGCAATCATCTCACAACAAAATCTTCTAATCTCATTATAGTTTTTGCAATTAAAGTATAATAACATTCATATCATTACCAGAGACATGGGCCATTGTTCAAACTGAATGTGGCCCATGGGTGTGCAGCAGGGGGGAGTTCTAACTGGAGATTAAAAAAAAAAAAAAAAAAATTGTTTCCTCTTTCAAAGCTGTAGTTTAATCTTGTTTCTGTAGATTCCAGATCTCTGAGTGGTACCAGGTCCTGCAGTGCTGGATTCACTGGATTCTTGTCACAGTGCAGGCAGGGTTGTGCTCTGGGGGCTGCTCTGGTGTAGTAGGAATTTGTTATTGGTGTGTCCATCACCATTGCTGTAAATTAGGTGCCCTTTAATGCTCAGCCTAGGAGCTAGGCTGTATTAACAGTAAATGTATTATTCCCTTCCACCCCATCTGATTTTTTGGAATCTGTCCACAGACCAGCGTAGGTGTTCATGGGACCTTCAGGAGAGGTTTCTCTTAGCAGTGCTCAATGCCAGGCGTTTCCTTCGTGTACTTCCAATAGCAAAACACAAGGGTGCCATAGGAGTGGCAATATGACTGTGCAATACTGAAAATAGTCATAAGCAATGAGAGCTTTTCATTGGTAAGCCAGAAGGAAAGAAAACCTCACCAATCTTCTCTACTAGGAAATGTCAGATTTTTATCTCTTTAGCATAAAAATAGTCATCTGACAACACATAAAAGTGAATTTTATACATGTTAGAACTGTCACTGGTGTAAGAGATGCAAACTATCATTTTAATCTTAAAAGCTTTGTGGAGGCAGAATAATAGTCGTCTCTTAACTGCCCTTAAAAGGTTATGTGTTTTGCTCATTTTTAACATTGGAAAACTTGATGCAGTTTTGATGACACTGAACCCTGCTATGGGATAAAATAATTAAGATTCCAAAAGAAGACATCGTTGTTGGATTTTTTTCTATGTTACCCAAAGTACACCAGAGTATTCTGTAGTATATTAATTCTGTTCAAAGACATGAAAATATTATTCTTAAATATGAGCAAGAAATGGGTGTAGAAGTCATAAGGTGGAGAAGAAATTCTGTATGTGCAAGATAGAAACTGAAATAATGTATTTACTCACTAACGGTGTTGATTAAAAGTATCTGAATCCGTTCATGAGACTGGTTAATAATTTACTGAAAACTGTTATGACCTTGATGAGGTGCTTGTACAGCAAACATATCAAATTACATTTTGAATTTAGTATTGTCTTTTGTAATAAAGGACTTTGTAGTGGAAACTGAACTAATTTGTTTCGGTCTTCCCATTCTTCAAAACCTTAGAGAACTGGTAGGCATTTGACTGGGTCTCTGGACAAAAGTAGTGAATTTTCCTGTTTCTTTAGGTCCAAATTGGCCAATTTTGAGTAGTTATTCAGTTAGATGTGAGTATAATTACGGGGGCAAATTACTGTCCAGAGCAGTTTTGTGTCACAGACATACCCACGAGGAAAAGTTAAGAAAGGGCAAAATGTCTGAACACTTTCATATCATGAGATTGTTTAATAAACCTGCATGGATCTGTATTCCCAATCCCTGCTTCCCCTTAAGGTGGGGTAAACTTCTCCCATCCCTGGTGTCTTTTGGCAAGTGAGATAAGTCCTGCCCTTATTTGCAGGAAGGGTCCCTGCTGGTCGTAAATTGCTGAAAGGTTTGAAGAGAAAGTTACTTGAATTCTCAGGGTTGTTATTCAGTGTTTTTGAACCTCTTCAAGCTTGATGTATGAAACACTGTGTCAGTGTTATTTTTATAAGGATTATATCATATTATAGAAGTTTAGATCTAAATTGTAAAATTCATAATAATGTTGCATTTAATCCTGAGCTGCTTTTGAGGCTGAGCATTGTCTCCCTGTTAATAGATTTAGCTGAAAACTATGGAATTAGCCTGATTATTCCTTTCCCCTCCAACCTCTTCTGAATTCCTTTATTTAAAAAAAATACCCAATAATAATTTTGATCTCATTTTTGGGGTATTATTTGCAGTTTTGTGTTTTCATATAGATGTAGGATGGTTGTAAGTGCTCCAAAGAAGCTGAACTCTTCTGGCTTTGCTAAGTAATCATTGTTCTCTGTATTCTGGTGGTGCTGAGATACTCAAAAGTTTCTAAGAAATGATGGGGTCATTAAGATTTTTGTGGTGGGTGTTTAATAAATCTGGCTCTGTGATGCATTTGCTTTGATGGGGTATAAAGGCTCCTCTAATTCTTAAATATTGAAAGAATGGAATAGAAAGGTTGTATCAGGAAAAATAGAATTACCTATTGAAGGGAAGAAAATGAAAACCTATGAAGCAGTCAGAATAAAATGATGTTGGTTGTTAGAGTGAAGGAGAAGAGAGTGCTTTGGTTTTGTTCTGGGTGAAACTTTACAGGCAGATTTTGTTTTGGTTTTTTTTTGAGACTGAAGTAACTCTCAAAGACGGTGCCTTGGTTACTGTAAAAGGGGGAAAGGTGCTGTTTGCTGAAGGTAATGTCAGAATGGATATGCACAGTGGAACTCAGGCAGTTCATCCCAGTCCAAAATCCACGTGCCTTGTAGAGCTACAGCATGAGCAAGGAGGCAATGGATGCTGCACCTCAGCATTCTCCAGTTTCAATGTGTGAGGCAGCCTTGCTCAGGGCTGCAGGGACTGGGGGAGCCCTGCCCTGCCCTGCTTGGGGCACAGAATGGGTTGGCCAAAACTTCTTTGGCTTTTGATCCACCTTAATGAGGTAGAACTCACCTAAAGTGCTGCAATGCTTGGCAATAATACCAAATAAATTGAGGCTGCTAGCTGATGATAGGTTATGATTGGATAATCTGTGTAGAGGTATGTTTTGTCAGACTTAGGTAAAAAGGAAAAAACCCAGCCCAAAGCTACTTACCATCCATCCTAGCATGTAATGCCTTCAGGAATATGAAGTTTCATTTTGAATAAAAGCTTACTGGCTGGCAAGTGAATGGATGAAAGCTTTATGCTGTATCATTTAAAAAAGAGATTTGTATGGGGTTTCTGTACTGAAAGTATATAATGATTATGCAAATAATTAAAAATATTTGTAATAATAAATACAAATGTGTAATTTTATTTTTCTTTTTTTCCAGCTCCAGTTGTTAACCGATACAACAGAAGAGTATCAGGTATGGTTTATTTTTAAGAATTCAAAGTATCTGAAATAGTTTTGAAATGTGTATCTGACTAAAGGAAGTACATTAAATATTACCTTTCTCTTATTGCCTTATGTCTCATAATTCTGGCATTGTTTTTGTTTGAAATAATGAGAATTGTTTCTTAATTCACTGTAGGCGCCAATGGTCAGCACATTTAGATATGCAGTTGATATTTATAGTAGTTGAATTAGTGGCTGTTCACTTGTTCTAGAGACACAGATTATACTTATTTGTTTGTTTGTTTCCTATCTCAACCAATATAAAATGCTTTAATGAGAAACTAACTCCCAAAAAATTCCTTTGCAAGTTGATTTTGAAGAGTATCACATGAGCAAAATGTTATATGTTGATGAGAAGATATTACATTGTTTTTTCATTTGAAGTGCAATGTGACTTGCTTTGCATGTGGTACTTTTTTTTTGTCTTCAAATATTTTACTAACATTTAGCTGGTCCAGAAAGTTTTAATTCTGCTTTAACAAATATCTTTAAAATGCCAGTGTATTCAGTGTTTTCTCTCTAGTTTTGAGTTCAAGTCTACTCATTTTGTAATTCATGTGGGTGATCTGACATGTTTTTGGGTATGTTAGTTATGGTGGGGCATTGTTGGTAATACATTTATTTATTTATATACCACATATATATGAGATTAATATGTGTTTATGTGCAAAATGTCCTTATACCCATGCAGTTCATTTGCATTCCTACTGGTTGCTTGGATATTATTAAAGATAATTGTTTATTTATGCCACTACAAACAAATAACTGAGTATAATGAGAATTTCATAACTCTTAAAGATGGACAGTGCTCTAGTTTTGAGATATGATTACATGAGAAATCTAGGCAGGACAGAATTTCATCTTGGATGGTGGAGTTTGATGCTCTGATAGTAAATATTGAGAGTCATATGTTGTAGAGTATTTGGAGAGGCCTAAGACACTTTCTCTTCTAATTAAACTAATCCATCCTGGATCCTGCTGATGGAGAAAAATCTTAGAAATGAGGAGTGAAAAAATCTCAGATTTAAATTTAAATAAAGACTGAGTTATTCCCAAAGTTAAAAAATTAAGCCTTAATCAGAAAGTGTTTGTAATCTTTTTGACTTTTTGAATCTTTTTGAAATGCAGTGTTGGTGCTCACACAGTACTGAGCTGCTCTTAGTTCAAAAACAATTCTCTCATTTAGGGGGTCTAAAGGTTAATGTGAACAACTAAAAAGCAAATGTAAAATTGAATTGCTAACTTGTGCAATTAGATTAAGGAGGGCTTTAGTTGCTTAATAATGCTCCTGCTTCAGGAAGAGCTAGAAATATTCAGAGTTTACAGTTCATATTAGAATTGTCATGGAGACAAACAATAACAGAATATGTGTATATTACTGCTATGTTAAATACTTTCCAGAATATAAAAAAAATCAATTTTCTCTCTGTATACACTGTATAGGTCATGATCAGTGTGGGATTTGTTAAAATGCAAAGGCAATGCAAACACCATCCATATGCACACAAAGAGATGCAGTTTTCCTTCTCTTGGCAGGAAAAGCAGAGAAACTGCTTTGGGGTGGGGGTTGTTTGCTGGGGTGGTTTATTCCACTTCATATCTGCTGTTTCTCTCAAGAACTGCATAGGAATGAGGCTGGGTACTGAGCTCAGCCCCCTGCCATCACAGGCAGCCACATTTTACAATCCCTTGCAGAAAATCAGTGACTGACTTGCTGGGTTTGCTGCTCTGAATTTTGTTTGACTTGTGTTTGATGCATAAGGTTTTCAGCAAGTTTTCATTCTGCAATTTTTGTGAGATAGGTTTTGTCTTTATAAATGAGAAAATAACAGCAAACACCAAACCACTGTTGCCTTACAGATTATTTAGCATAGTAGCTAAATGTTTCTGCATTTAACTTATAAAGTAAAGCAGAACAAACCATAGAAAAGCTGGCACATAATTCTTCTTTGTAATTTCATTTTGTGGTCTTCTCTTCAGAAGAGCTTTCTGCTAGTCCATGTTGAACCTTGTCAATCCAACCAGTATTTCTGTGTTTCCAGTGCAGTGTGTGTTTGTAAGGGGAGTGAAGAGCAGAGCTCAGTTGCTTGCTGTTATCAACATTTGCATGCACAAAATCATAGATTTACAGAGCATTTAAAAGCTAACACGGGATGTATTGAGGTAAATTCAAGCAAGCATTGTTCTTTTTAAGTGTTTGGCTGCCTAGGGAATTACAGCATTGTCCTCATTCACTAGGTCAAAAATAAAAGAAAAATATAGTTTTTTATAATTTTTAGAGGAAAAGTTGATAAAGTGATTGTCTACATTACATGCAGTTTATGACGGGCTAATAATTGTTCTGGTAAACCATTCAACTACAGGTGTGTTCTTGGAGCCTAACAGGTGTTTATTATGCTCTCTTACACATAGCAGTTAGAGGATCTCTTTTTAGTTATTTTATTAATTTTTTAATATTAAACTTGAAGTGTTTTCTACAGGTTGATTCTGATTAGTTGCCTACAGATAACAGGATGATCATGGTTCCCCTGGTGCATTATTGAAAATTCTAGAGATACATAAACCCATAGAATAAATCTGTTCTAATGATTACTAAATTTTCATTTAGGTGTTTATTTCTGGTTATGAAACATCTAAACTGTTTTGGCAAATACTACCAGTGTTGTAAATATTTAGCTGTCATTCTTTAAGACTTACTCAAAATGGACTGTGCAGGAGGGTCATCCTGGAAGAAGGGGATTTATCTAATCATGTTCATGTAATTATTTATAGAAGTGCAGAGTGGTAGTGTTCTCATGAAGAGAAACAGCCTTTTCCACAGAATGCTTGGAGGGAGAAGGAGAAATGAGAGCTTCATGTTCCTCTAGAAATTAATCTAGTGAATAGCTGGCTTGTGTGTGGCATGTTTGGCCATGTAACGTGTTGAGATCCATGGTGTGCACACAAACGGTTGGTCAGCTCTAATTTGTATCTGAGCTGACTTCATTAAAATAATCCTGTTTGTAAAATCGTAAGCTATTTTGGTGGTAGAAACTAAAATGGTAAAAACCAGCTCACTGATTTGGAAACCTCCTAGCTCTGGGGTGCCATGGGCTGAGATGCAATTTCAGTGCTAGTTACCCAGCAGAGCAGTTGTCTTGCTGCTGCTCTGAGTTAGCAGAGTCTGAGCCTTCTCCCAGGGAAACTAACCTGTGTTCCATGGATTGCTGACTGACTCAGCCTTGGATGGAGTGGCCTGAATCCCTTAGGGAGGCCTTCCTCCCAAGAACTGGGCTGGGAACTTTGAAATTCATACTTGCTTCATTACATTTCTTGATCTTCCTCCAAGCATAGCGGCTTCTAACAAACTTAATTATGTTGGTCACTTCATTTTCTGTCGTGGAAGGCTGCAGAGCCTGCCGGTATCTGTGTCCTTGGCTGGGGACTGACTACACAGTGCAGGGAGGTGGCAGAAATCAGAGACACCTCCTTTCTCAGTTATATCAAAGATGTTTCAAAACTAGAGGGAGAGAGCACTTCTATTTGTCCCACTATAAGAACTGGTACATAACACTGAGGAGAATTCTGCTCCTGGCAGGATATGAATGAAAAGTTAATTGTGTTTTTGGAAGGGAGAGTGTGACGCCCACTAGAGTCTCTCTTGTGCATAGTTCCTCCTCTTTTAGTTTTAGCATATTTCAGAAAAGTGAAGTTTTTTGATAGATTTCTCTATTGCCATTTCTAGACACTTTTGATTAATTCCACAGAACACCCACTCTCCAGCAGACTTGCAGATTTCTTCTTGGGATAGGATAATCTGACGAAATGACACCCGTACTATACATGTGTCACAAAAAGTTTTCATCTTTTTTCTACAATTATTTCAGTTTATCTGAGTGACCTGGTGTAATAATCTCTCTTTTGCATGTGCCTGTACTCCCTCCTGAGCCTTCCTTTGGCCTCATTGGAATGAAATTACAGTTTTCACATTCAACAACTGTAAGCAGAATAATTGAGCTATATGATCAAGGGAAGCAATATATAATAGTTATTTCCTTAATAGTAACACAACTGTCAGGATCTATGCCTGTTTTCATATTAATACAAAAAAGAATCAAATTAACAAGACTTGTCTCAGTTGGTCCTTTTGGTGGGGCAGCTTTCAGCAGAGACTCAGTGGAGTGAGAAGGATCAAATTCTGGGTGCTAAACCCCTGAGATGGGGCTGCTGAATAAAGGTTTCATGTGTAGAGGTTAATTTTGTTGAAATGTTCCTGAATCCTGTGTTCCTGTGTATAACAAACATGAGCATTGTGTGGACCCCTGACAGTTGCCAATTGTCAGTGTCCCCAGCAGATGCTGGGTTCAGAATCAGTACTTTCCATGTTTCTCTTGTTTCTAGCTATCTGATGTGACACTATGGTGTGGTGTTGTGGAGTTTTTTTGGGTTTGTGTTGGTTTTTTTTTGTTTTTTTTTTAATAATGTGTAAATCAATATTCCCTGACATTTTCTGGCTTTTTCTGATCACATCAGCTTCCATGAGAGGCCTTTACTATTGGCTCTTCCAACTCACTGATTCTTCTCTATTTTGATGGTGGTGGGGACTCCTTCCCCTGAACTCTTCATTAGTCTGGCTCCTGCCAAAATGAGCAATCATCTCATAATGCACATATGTTGCTAAAGTGTGATATTCCTCTGTGCTTTTGAGTGCAATGCAGCATTTTCTTCACACCCTGGCAAGTTGAGATGTCAGGATATGATAATATTACACATAGTAAATTCCTATTAGTAGCTTCTAGTGCTTTAAAATGACAGCTTTAACAAAAATCATTTTCTAATAAAGCTGTTCTGTTAATTATTGCCACACAGCATGTTAGTATTTGGTAAGAAAGACTGTTTTGGGACCCTGTTAAATTAGGACATCTAAATGGCAGCAATGAAACAAGAGGCACTGCTTCTCTTGGGAGGTTGTTTTGAGTATTTCTCTTGCAG